CTGAGAAGACTCGAGGATGCGACTAATAGACCCGACCCCCCCCCCCCCCCCCCACGGACGTTCAAATTTCTTAACTTTGACTGAACATGCCTTCTCCAAGAGTATATGGGATGACGCCAGTAATTTATCGAACACACAAGGACAATTGTTGCCCAGAAGCAGAGGAAGCTGTGATCATAGACATAAGCGACCATAGAACTTCCTGAGGCTAACAGAGACGACCGAAAGAGGCGCACTGAATAGTGCGGTGGAAGCACTAATTTCTCCATTGCACTTGTACACACAGGGGCAGTGCAAAACACGTCTCAGTACAGGTAGACTTTCTAGAGTAGTAGCGGACGAGCGGTTCTTGAGATACAGATGTACTTTTCTCTCCCCCCCCTACTGTTTTCGATTGTGCGGACGAAGTGTTGAGTTTTTCAGTTTTCAGTTTTCAGTTTTCAGTTTTCAGTTTTGAGTTTTGAATCCGACAATTTCATAACTATTCCTAAAAAAAGAAGATATTTTAGGAGCCTATGACATATTTGACATAAAATCACCTCTTTATTTTTTTTTAAAATTTACACTTCAGTTTAGGTCAAGACTCCAAGCCCAAAGACCCGAGTTCCAACTTCGGTCCCAAGACCCAAGAGCCCTTCAAAGATAGGCGGCATGTTTAATTTGGGGATACCCTTGCGAAGAAAATATTGAGATTCTTGTGTAATTTTGGAATTCCTTTCCCTATTATCGATAGTGTAAATATGACAATAGTGTAGGCTGTAGAGGTGACCTGTTTACTGTTGTTGAGTTTTGAGTCTGAGTTTCGAGTTTATATTTTCAGGAGGCTATGTTATGGGGTACTGGTGGAAACCCTAAGTAATGGAACCCTAAAGAACGACCATATACTACTGAGGCTATGTACTAGTACTACCCCTGACCCCTCCTGCCTTCAGTCATAAAAAAATCAAGGAGGTTTGAAGTAATAAATATGTGTAGTCACGCGCTGTACAAATATAACTTGAATATTGAACCACGGTACAATATTTACCAGTGTGGATGCACTTAGATTTCCTGCCTGTGTCATGGCTTTGTACGGTGGCCTATATGGCGATCTCCCAGTAGACTCTGATAAAAAGAAAAAAGCCAGACATGACAGTCCACTGGCACCAGGCGCTCCCTCGCCTGGGCAACCAGCGAAGTCGCAGTATTCGTCCAAAGCGGCAGGTTGGAGCACAGCGAATCAAATGATGAAGTCCATGGTGATGCGGAAAAAGATGGAGAAGCAGCAACAACAACAGCAACAACAACAGCAAGCACACTCACAGACACAGCAAGGTGTGGGAGGCCTTGCCGGGCTTGCCTATGGGGTACAGTCTCGCGGTAACGATGACGTGCCTGATGGAGCTACACTGGATAGCTCTACAACTACTTCTGTTATGCCTTCTAGTAATGCGGTTAATTCTAACGTGCATGTTCGCTCCATCGTACCTCTAGAAAATCAACCGGTGGGTGTGCTCGACTTCCCAATGGTATGTTTTGCTGCACTATACCTTGTTGTACTCAGCGTTTTGTGCTAGTATTTTATAGGAAGGTTCAATATTGGCGCACCCGCTAGCCTATGTCGATCTTACTCCTGCGTGTACGTCTGTAGTCCTGGAAATGCTTAATTGCTTTGTTTGTCCCGCCTAACGCGTACTGGGAATTCCACACGAATGTCGCATATTCATTACTGTATTGTGCAAATGGCCGCTCAGCCGAGTCGAACACTGTAAGGTCATCTGCCCTTTATGCGTATGTTAGTACGCGTGCAACATACAAATACATATGTGTATGTTCTAGCCTACGTCTAAAACGAATATAATTATACTTTTAGATTACTTCTTCCATGATGATATAAACACAAACATCTACCTTGCGTATGTTCTGCATGCAATCCTGCGCAGCGCATACACACATATTTCGAAGTCTTGAAAATCAATACGTTTGCCTACAACCCCCATATATATATATATATATATATATGCCTGTGTCCGTGTCTGTGTCTGTGTCTGTGCGTCTGTGTCTGTATTTATATATATATATGTGTGAGTGTGTGTGTGTGTGTGTGTGTGTGTATACATATATTTGTATACGTATATTTGTATACATATATTTGTATACATATATATATATATATATATATATATATATATCACACGTACACACATACATACATACATACATGCATACATACATACATACAAATGCATATCTATATATTTATATATATATATGTGTGTGTGTGTGTGTGTGTGTGTAAGGGTATGTATGTGTGTGTGTGTGTGTGTGTGTACATGTATATATATATATATATATGTATGTGTGTGTGTGTGTGTGTGTGTGTACATGTATATATATGTGTGTGTGTGTGTTTGTGTGTGTTTGTGTTTGTGTTTGTATTTGTGTGTGTGTGTGTGAGTGTGTGTATAGATATTACGAAACATTGCGCAGTTTCAAAGCAGGTGCAATTCTAAAGCTTTCTGAAGCTTCCTGTACATACGAACGCGTTTTGATTCTCAGCCAAGTGCATGTATAATTATATCACAACCTCTCCATATGCCTTGCATTTTCTTGCAGACCATCATAGAAGATGAGTACAATCCAATGCGTCCCAATGATTACGATAGTTGGTTAACGGGTATGTATTCGCCGGAACTGTGTTACGCATTTTCCTGGATTTTAAAAGCACTAACATCACTTGTGCAGTGTATATGTTATCGCTATGCAGATAGTCCTATTTGAATAGTACCTCTCCTAAGCCATAGCTGGTGTACCATCAGAGTCTTTACTTCGATTGTCATGATTTTATCTGCTAAGGTCGCCAATTCAAGGTAAGGACAAACATATGGGGAAGTATATTTTGAAGTTTGCTTTCTCCCTAACTTGACTATCTCCTTGCTGGCAGAACAAATGAGAGAGAAATCACAAGCGAAAGGCGAAGGTTTGAATAGCAAGGAACGGGACGGGAAGTCCTCACATAGCGATAGCAGGGACGGCCGCAGTGGTAGAGATCGGGAGAGAGACCGAGACAGAGGAAGGGATCGACACGACAGGGATAAAGGCAGGGATAGGGACAGGGATACAGACCGAGACAGAGATAGAGATAGAGATAGAGACAGCCATGGTGATAGACATAGAGACAGGGATGATAGGGGTCGCAGCCGGAAGAACTCCGGTGATCATGGTAGTGGTAGCAGCAGCAGTGCACGTGCGTCAGGTGGTGCTACAGTAAGCACGCAGAGCAAGGAAGCCATAGCAGCGGCGTTGGCGGTGGCCACGGCTAAGGCGCGAGCAGCCGCGTCCGCTATGCAGCCCAGTGCTCCCACTATAAATCTACAAGAATCGGCTGAGGACGCCATTGCCAGGCGGAGAGGTATGAGTGCGGGTATGAAGAAGCCGCCGCCCCCACCTACACCGGGACGAGGTGGAAGTGCCGCTGGTGGTAACGACGGGTCGTGGGCGGCTAAGATGATGGGGCAGATGGGCTGGCAAGAAGGGAAAGGTAAGCGAAGGCGAGACTCTGCTTGATGCATGTGTGGCTATATTCTGTTCGATGTTTTTCCTTGTATGTCATTCAATTTGTGATTGAAATCAGGATCATCAAACTTTGAAGTGCAGACGGCACCATCTGACATGTTTTTCTCACCCACTTCACTAGGCATTGGGAAGTCACAACAAGGCATGGCAACACCCCTTATGGTCAATAATGGTCAGGGGACGATGGGCAAACAAATCGCACCAGCTCCGTCCAAGTGCGTAATGAATCATCTTGATTTTGTTATAGTGATTGTTTACCTTTTTATGTGGTCATCAAACTCGCGGTCTGTTTTATGCTGCGTTTCTTTAGATGTTTATCACAAACTATCTGCTTACTCTCTTCGATTGTATTTTTATCCGCTCAGGCCTGCAAATACGAAAGATCTCCGCAACCCGAGTACAATTGTCTTACTGGAGGTACCCACGTTTGTCAGTAATTTTGTATTGCCTACTCTCTCACCCCTCATGCATACTTATACTTCATCACAATACTCACGAATACATGATTCGCGTTTGTGCGGTATATTTTTATACAACGCGAATGCTACCCCTGTCTGTATTGCTTTGCAATACGATGTAGGTCGGACACTATGGTATGGTTACTTGGAAAGCTTTTGAATGTGCTATGGTGCATAAAGTTGTTCACTTGGGAAGTGTAATAGCATAGTGAGTTCAAAAAATCGCAGTTCTTCATTTGTGCTCACGAATTTCCTCAACTTGTCGCAGAACATGGTGGGTCCTGGTGAGGTTGACGACGATCTACAACCTGAAGTGGAGGAGGAGTGTTCGCAGTACGGCAAAGTAGTCAAAGTTCTCATATTCGAGGTAGCTGTCTGTGTCCATTATTTATTTTTTTGAAGTACATACTCGTTTATTATTGAAGAGATTGATTTGGCTGAGTAGAACCTATTTTCATTTAGTAGCAACGGTGTTGTTTGTTGATCGACCTTGCCCATATCATTTTCATCGGTAGGTACCTGGCGGACAAGTATCTGATGATAGAGCTGTTCGAATATTTGCAGAATTCAAATCAGTAGCTGCGGCAACGAAAGGTACTTTAAAAGGCATCCTCTCTTCTTTTTCGTGTTACTATCAATCAGCTTTGCTCTCACGTCTTCGTTTCGATTATAAAATCTTCCTCGTGCGATCTTGAAGTCAATTTTATCACCATCTGCATCGTTACTTAAACAACGCTCCCATAATTATATTGTTGTATAGCATTAATCGCACTTGGCGGTCGGTTTTTCGGCGGCCGCACTGTGCGAGCATCGTTCTATAACCCGGCCCGGTTTGCAAGCTTTGATCTAGCGCCCACGAAGTAGTAGATTAGATTACTATGATAAAAAAATAGCCGCCGCGTTACCGGACCATTGGAGCAAGTCCTGAGAAGCACCTCGATAAGTGGTCACGGTCACGGTGTAGTCCTTCTACCGTCATGAGCAACGCAAGATTGATGTGTAGTTGCACCTGCGCCTCCATTTAAGCAACGGATGTGTGCTTTTGAAATCTACTGCCTACTTATCCGACTCGTGGTTCGAAGTGCAATGGGTCACCTGAAGTTTGCTGAATACTCGTTTCGATGTGTTGGTTGTTGTGATAACTTGATTTATTATGTTATAACTTCAGTGTCAACTTGAGCTTGTGTAAACCCAGCGCCAGACCCATGAGTATGCATATGTATGCTATGAGAATTGTGTATGCCCGTTCGTCGCTTGCGCAGTTTGTTCTCGTCGTCTGGTTCACAAGACCTGTTAACAAATTACCCTGCATTTGTAAGAAATGTTAAGGAGCGTTTTGTTAGTCGTGTTTGATCACAACAAATGACGTGGCTCTATGCCAAGCATACATTGCCGGAAGACGACCATCCACATACCAGTAAAAATAGAAAGAGTTGGTTCCGATTGATCGCCAGCATCAATTTCGACTCCTTCACGGGTTGGTCGCATATGAAGAGCTCAACGAAGAACACAAGTAAGAGTACAGAGGTCGTGGTGATAAAGGCCCAGATAATGTACGGGAGATTCATCATGCGCCGTGATGGTTCGGCATCAACAAGCCATGTCAGAGCCAGCCACATTGTCATCGTCAGTCCTGCCAACTCGGCGAACGCGATAGTCCAGGCGCGTTTTGTATACCTATCCTTACTTAAGTGGCCGCCAATGCCGCAGCCCATGAGGTAGAGCGCCGTGTAGCCTAGGAATAGAAGGTTTCGAAAGGCTGTGACTGCAAAGTTATGCTACTTTGATGCTGGGCAAACCGAACAGAAGAATCGCATACGGGTAATGGAAGACAAAGGGGTTGTGTCAGCAGAGAGCCGACGCGAGAATAAATGCTTTTTTTTATGGTCTTGATTTAACATGCATACAGATTATTATTAACTCAATCACCGCTGGAAGTGACGAACATTTGCCATACCTACGATGCTACACACGCCCTCTTTGTTGGCGTGTATAATGCTACTCCTAGGGTGCTCCAGAATGTATTGTTCTCCCCCGTAGTTGTCCAGCACCCATTGATATGCTGTATCAGTTATGCGGATAATTAACCAAGATATATTAGTCAACTAAGTATTGCATCTGTCATGGCAAACACGTGAGTATACATAAAAATCGTTTTCTCATCTTGATTGACTCGTGGAAGTGTTCCGTGCAAGATTCGACAAGCAATTGGACGAATGTGAGCGCGCTGTTGTGTGTATGGTATCTACCTGTAGCTATAGCCAGTCCGAACATGAACAGAGCGGATGTGCTCTTGACCAATGCGCGAACGGTATTGCTCACAATCCCCGTGAAGAACAGGGTGAAGAAGAAATTCCAATGCACTCCGTATTCACTCACATGCTCCTGATAGTCCAGGGATTTAACCGTCAGCAATCTCAGCAGGCCGAGTACGACCAATGGCACTGTATACAATAAACATACGTGATGGAAGCGTGTTTGAGGTGGAACGGTTTGTATTGTCAGACATAATGAGAGCTCCCTTCGACGTTGTCTATTTTACGCGTGATGCACCTTGATCCAAAGTATGTACCCTGAAATAAAGACAAGTATGCGATCCCGCATGGTAAATGCGATCCTAGCCGCAGTGTGATTGTACATCGAGAAAAATGTTGCTAGTGCGGCCAAAATACATACGAGATGATTTGAGAATTCGAAGCAGTCCCCCTTTCTGGGGTCGGCTGGCGGTAACTATACTGTTATTTAGAATGAAGGCACCAACACCCGTATCCATAGTTGAAACACCGAAGGTTTCGGTTTTGGTGAAGCGTCGTTCAAATATATTGAAGTCAACGGCAAGGATGCAGAACAACACTACGACCTACTGGCAGAGGGAGAAGTGGAAGGGAAGGGAGAGTCGGAATGAGTAAAAAAATTCCGCTTTGATATGCCACACGGATCAATAATTTGCAGCGTTCATTACTATGGTAGCGTATGCACCATACACAATTTTCGATAGAGTTCTGTACACGAATGCGATCACTTACCAGCATCGTGCTGCGATACACCGTCACGAAACTCTTTCTTTTGCGCGAGAAGTGCTCGACAATCGCCTTCTCTTGCTTTTTGTCTGTTGCGCTGAGAACATCTACTATTCTTCGCTGGCTTGACAACAGCACAAACACGATGTTGACCGCAATCCACAGGGGCATGTACTGGGGTTGCGTCAGAGAGACGATCAGTCCTATCAGTAGCGCGCCTACCTCAGATATGGTCCTTATGTTCGAATTACCGAGATACTTTTGGCTCACAGGTCCTGAGAAAAGTATCTGGCATGTTAAGACACCCGCCTGTAGCGAGAAATATCCAATATGCAGAGAGAATGAGAATATAAGGCCAGCGATCAAATTAAATATTCAGTTATTTCGCAATACTAAAGGAGTACCTATTTAGCAGTTGTTAGTGAATAATTACGCGTACAGAACATCTACTGAAATCAAGTTTTCTCGAACCATAGACTACGAACCGGCCGCATCCAAGACATGGCCAATATCAGAAGCTTCTGCGTAGGTATCAGGCGGTTCTCCGTACGTCACAATGTGTCATTATCCGTAAATGATAACACAATATATTATATCGTTGGGATGTGTCGTTCTTTAGTAAAGTTGTAAATGTTAAATATTTACTTGTACCTTTACAAATGTATAGAATCTATAAACACTCAAATATATGAGCTTATACACGTATATATATATATATATATATATATATATATATATATATATATATATATATATATATATATATATATATATGTGTGTGTGTGTGTGTGTGTGTGTGTGTGTGTGTGTGTGTGGTGTAGTA